ACAAACCGTCCCTTTCCGAGGCAACTGCTGGAAGGTCAGCTGCATCTGAGGGGAAGGTGCTTCTCTGGGCCATAGTGTTTCACGTGCCCAGCCTTGGGAAGCAAATTGGCATCACAGCATTTTCTCCTGGATAAGCATTTACAGATCACCTTGGCAATGATGGATTTTCCTGTCTTTTGTACAAAATAACCAATGACAGAATTAAAAAATTAGCATGTTGATCTGGATATGCTTAGAGCATACCTTTTACTACAAAGCACCACCTTCCTTTCATGCTGAGAAGAATGTAGTACAAAGATGTTCAGTTTCTTTTGGGGCTTAAAGTGATGATTCATTGTAAGCAGGAAAGAACACTTGGGGATTTTTTGGCCTTTTATATATATTTTAGCTGTAGTAGTTGCATGTGGTCTATATCTACACCATTTTACCTGAAAAGGTCCATTCTTCTGCTGTTTCCTTTTGGTAACTCCTCCATCCCAGCAGACTACTCAGAGTACATGTGCCTGCTTTTGAGCAGGCAGTGCAAAAGTTACATGTTGTACCAAATTGCATCCTCCATGCTCTTATAAAAAGAGAGGTTTTCTCTCAGTCAGTAATACCCAGTTCAGTAGGAATAACGTGCCTAATGGTTGCTGAGGTTAGAAATAACTTTAAGGGGCATTATGTATCATTATAACACGGTGACATAGTGAAGCTTAATAGGCACTACAACATCCTTTTGTTTTCATGTTTCCCTGAACACTCAGTCCTGTGACAGGTGGTCAAGAAAAGCTATTCCTGTGTAAATTTACCCAATTATATTTGTGTAGTGGCCTTGAAAAAGCATTAATATATTAACCATTAAAAGTAGCTGACAGCCTTTGGAGAAATGTTTTAGTGTGCCTATGTGAATAGAGGGTCTGGCTGATGTGTTATTTTTTAGATAAATTATAAATATCATATTTAGTTGATGCGTGCAAATGTGATACAATATACATTTGCCATTGCATATTCAACATCTATTTTATTCTGTTCATGTTTTCACAACAGCAACGAGGCTGAAAGGAAATTAAATTTTGGGTGAGCACTTTGTTTTGTAAGCACTGGTGATACAAAATACTTGGTTTTATTGAAAAACAGTATTTTCACATATTAAAAGCAAAATTGTCTTTCTGGTCTTTACTGCTTATCTCTAGCATGTATTCATATCATAGGAGTTTCCAGCATGGACAAGCACAGAGTATACAATTGAGGGCAGCACTTCAGACAATAAATAAGGATGTTTAACTTAGTGATTGAAAATTCAAATGTTGTTATTGAGAGTCCATTCTTCTGAAAATTTTCAGATGGTTTTTTTATAGCTCAGAAAGCTATGGGTGCTTTCAGATTAATCAAGACTTTCTTTATTCATATTTTGTGGTTGTAGTCTTTGGCTCCAAATTCAGCCTACCTATTCATCCAAGATTTGGAAGACATTTCTGTAGAATGTATTAGAGCTACAGAGACTCAGAGTCAACTCATAATATAAAAGGGCCTCTTTGCCATTTCTGAACTGGGTGGGCAAGAAAATAAATAAAAATAAAATAGTGCCTTGAGACTGGAAAGCATTTTTAAGATTTTTTAAAAACCTTTAAATAAGTGTATCTCCAGGGTAAATAGTCTGCAATGGAATCTGTTACTCAGAGGCAGTTTTACTTTTTTATACTTTTTAACCTTGTCCTTGCCAGTCCTGAACATTTGGTATATAATGAAAATGTCTTCCATTGAGTGTAAATATGTTTTATATAGTAGCTGCCATAGCAGTGATGTTGAAATATCTGCCTAAAATGAAATTGTAAGATTTTAGAAGGGGTAACAAGTTTAAATTGAAAATGGGGAGATTCAGATTGGATATCAGGAAAAAACTCTTCCCAGAAAGGGCGGTGAAGCACTGGAACAGGTTGCCCAGAGAAGCTGTGGATGCCCCATTCCTGGAAGTGTTCAAGGCCAGGCTGGATGAGGCTTTGAGCAACCTGGTCTAGTGGAAGGTGTCCCTGCCCATGGCAGGGGGGTTGGAACTAGATGGTCTTTAAGGTCCCTTCCAACCCAAACCATTCTGTAATTCTGTTCTGTGTTTCTATGATTTGTAAGGATGTTAGAACTAAGTGGTATAGAGTAGGCAAGTTGCTTACATTAGATGTGAAGAAATTACCTATTGCATAATGCAAAAAATGCAGTTTTCAGAGGATACTTGAAGCACCTGCATGTAGTTGACCTGTCTTTGAATTTACTCGGCAGTGTCTTCCTGACATGGCCACTTGTTACACTTGTCATGGAAGTAATCACACTTTCATATTTTAGGAGCATTTAAACACCAAAAAACATACTTGTATCTGGCTGTTTATCTTTGTTCAGTCCGTTATCTATTCAGTGCTCATCATGAGTAATGAAGTAAATAGTAATGACTTCTACTTTGAGTTTTCTCAAATTTCCAAGCCCCATACACAATTTTCTGAGGTTATTGCCAGTCGGACTGAGCCCTCGCTGCAGTCGCTGCAGGCAGAGTCAGTGGCAGCTCTGCAGTTGGAAGGAGTAAAGGAAAAAGCAGCCACAGCCGCAACCTGAACAGGGGACCAAGAAGAGTTAGAGACAGCTGCAGTGGCAGCTGCTGCCTGGCCGGAGCACGAGGAGAGGGGAAGTGGCGTGATCAGCAGTAGGTGCAGGATGGAATGGAAACGGCCTCTTAAAGCCCTAGACCAGAGACGTTGAGACGTTACGGCAGTATAGGCCCTCCTGGCTTTTGGTAGGTGTCCTTGGCTGGGCACCATCCCGGGGATGCCTTCTGCTGTGACAAAGTGTCGCAAAGTCTGTGTACAGTTTCATTAGTTGACTGTACCATGGTTTGGGAAGCCCTGGTCTAGTCACCTGTAAGAGGGCAAGAGATGAGTTATATTGCCTTGTCAGAATGGCGGGATCTTTGCTAACTCAGAAGTGTAGCCCCCAGGGAGCATCCTCATCAGAAACTGATGTATTTGTGAGGTGTGTGTGCTTCCAGAGAGAGGTAGCAGGTGATTGGGGCATTTTTAGGACTGCGGTTCCGGACCAAGTGTTCCCAGAGCATGTTTAGTCTTGTTTAATTGCATTCACCTTACACATAAGAATATGACGAGGAATCCCCCTCCTCATTTCTGCCGGAAACACTGATTACATTTCTGCAGGATTTTAGATACTACTCTGAAGGCCAAGCATGGCAGTGTCGGGCACGGGAACACAAAGCTTCTGCGTGCCAAAGCCCTTTTTATTGAAACAGACCTTAAGAAACTTCTCTGTGGTAACACAAGTCTTCCGTAACAGACTCAGAAATTTAATTAAAAAAACAAGCAAACAAACAAAAAGGTTTGTGTGGTTTTTTTTTTTCTATATTGCACTAATTCTCAGTATGTTGATTTGTCCAGGACCCATAAAAAAGAAACTTTTTCCTTTTAAATAAGGTGAGCACTACTTTTGAAGGTGAGCACTACTATTTGCCAGTGTGCAGCAATAGACAAAGGAAGTGGTGTCCTCCTGTGAGACACAAGTAGGTAGGATAGCACCGAGTTAGTGATGGAGGAGGAGAACTGTGCCTGGGGTGGTGCCATGTGGCTGTTTCTGGGCTCAAGATTTCATGGCGTTTCATGGTGATTTCATTCATTACAAATAATCTCTTCTACAGTTCTAATCAACAGTTGTTGTGCCCTTATTGTAACCTGGAAGAATCACTTTAGATATTAGAGATGACAATGAAAAATATTGATGGATGTCCTGGATAAGTCAGTGACTCAGTAGAAAACATTTTGTTGATTTTTCTATTTGGTAGGTAGTCAGGGGATACTGCAGTCACCCTGCAGCCAGCTCCTTGCCAGCTGGCATTACAAGTGGATCAGCATAATTAATTTCAAAATCAGTCAGCAGAATACACTGGACAACATTTTCTCCAGAGAGAAACATTAAATAATAGAAATCTTTAGACGTCCTCAAGTCTCCATTCTATTATCTCAGCAGCTTTACAGATTTCTTTGTTTTGCATCTCACATGCCCTGGCAGTGATGGTATTTTGCCTGGTACACTAACAGATGCTGATGAGTGTAACAGTTTGCTGAAAGCTGAACAGAAAATCTCATGCTGAGCTGGTGGGAGAGCCTCGATCTTGCAGCTGTAGGAGAAGAAAGATGCGTGATTTATAGAAGAATGAGGCGCTGGCACATTTCAGACCCCAGCAACAGTAGTACAATTCAGAGCAGAATGACGATGACATGTTTTTCAGACTGTCATCTGCCTTCATGTATTGTTTAGTTTCATTGTGGTTTAGGAGATTGGTGTTTTCTGTACTGTTGCATATTATCTAAAATACTGGACTGTGTATTTCTACATGCATCAGTAATTGAGTCTGCTTGACAAAAAAGCCATAAAGGGTCTCAGAAGTCTGAGTTGGGCAGTTCTACTTGGCCTTCTCAGATTCTTAGAACATGTCCTGAAAATTTGCTTACATTTCAAAAATAGGCTTTTTTTCTATTGAGTAACACAGCCATTTTTCCCACAATTTTCTTCCATAAAAATGAGGTCTGTGATATTTGATTCTTCTAAAATCACCTTTCTTTCAGTATGCACTGTATCTATGGACACGTTGGTATTGCCTGGTAGTATTATCACAAGCAGGTACATCATGTGGCTAAATAGAGCTGCTTGGTTATTTGTTAGAGGAAATATCAGGTGCTTTTAGGATTTTGAAAGAATTTGTCGTCAGTGTAAACACCAGTAACTCAGGTGTAATAAATGGTTAATGCTTTTCTTTCTTGGGAAGGCACTTGGGAAGACGCTAAAGACACACTGTCAGTGTTAGGTCACATGTATGCAGAGGTCTCCTTTGTGTATGAAACAGGGTCTCCAGCATGAAATTGTTCAGGAGACAAATTAATAATCTAACAGAAAAACCGTAGTAGTGTTGATAGGATATATCATAGTATTGATCTAAAGTAATACGTATTTAATATATTTTCTTCTAGGAGAAGCCACTGACCAAATCTCTGCAACGAGGAGAAGACCCCCAGTTTGATCAAGTAAGATACTTGAAATTGTATTATTTCCATTCCTCAGGCTGGAAGCCAAATACTTGGAAGGCAGTCTACTGTCCTTACACTGTCATTGCATACTGCAAAAGCGGTGTCTCTCCACGTACTTCAGTAGAATGGTACATGCTTTGCCTAACCATTCTTGGTTTAAAATTAGGAGGACTTTTCCAGTGTGTGTATTACTTTCTGGCTATTTCCACTGATGGAGTGTTTGAAGCAAACTTTATATCATTCCAGAATGTCTGCCTTTTCAAACAGGCATATGCCTCTCAGTCTTTCTTTTATGGGGTTTCTCTTACGGTTAATATGAGGGCCTTTAGAATCATTGCCATTGACATCAGTCTCATCTCTTTTGTCTCTGTAGCTGTGACCTGGTGTGACTTACATGTATGCTGCACTTCACATAGGCGGGGACAACCCTTTGTATTTAAAATTAAGCATAAATTCAATTGTCTGGATATATGCCTATATAGAATGAGGTAAATAATGAGAAAAATTGTAGGCAGGGAATAAGAATTAAGAAATAAAATAGGATTTATATAATAGGATCTATCTATATATTTACATATAATATTACTAATATTAAATAATCATTTAATAAAACAATAAAATTGCAATTAATAAAATGAAATTTATTATGTAAGGGAAATGGGACAAGTATAAGAATAAAACCAACAGCAATATACACACTTTTTAATGATGGTATAAGAGAATTAATTTCTGTCAGCAGTCTGTTTCTTAAAAAAACCAGCATCCTGAAAAGATTCCTACACAAGTAAGCTATTTTGAAACAAATAGTTTAAGTTGCAGAAAGGTTGCTGAAACTCTAAAAATTCACTCTCAACAAGGAGGAGGGAAAAACTCAAGGTGAATCATAAGCAGCAAAGTTGTTTTCTGCTGTGCCGCTGTTTCGCCGTTGCTGCAAACTCCACGGCTGCCAGTGGTGCCAGACACATGGGACAGAAAGGCATGGCAGGAGCAGCAGGAACAGCGCCAGCCCTGGAAGCGGCTGTGGCTAGTGCCGTACGCTGCAGGTAGCATACTCATTAACTTCGGGAGAGGGGATACGTATGAGTAGGAGTTCAGTGTTTAACACATTTATTGTGTTTTCTGGGGCATCAGATACATTGCACTAGAAGCAAAGGCCTTGTGAGACCCCGCTGGTGTTCACAAAGGCTCAGTTCATAGTTGTAGCTTGACAAAGCGACGCTCCCTAGGTTGTTCTGTAGCTGCTCTGAGGAGAGGTAGCATGCTTGGAAGGCTGTTCAGAGCAGGAGGGGAATGGTAGGACTCCTGCGTGGCACTGGGGAGCTCTCTCTGACCGCCTCGCTGGCCCCAGGGAGACTTGCAGGAGAGCCAGCCACTGTGGGCTGAAGGAGGCTGCTTTGTGAGTACTCCCTCGCTGCCTAATGAATTTTTTTGTGGGATTCTAACCTTAATTTTATATATTTTTTTTTCCTTCCTGTGGGAAGAGTGTCATAAATGAATGGGAAAGCAAAACAAATGAAGCCACCCATATGCAAACTTTGTGATGCTGTTCCTGCAGTGTATTAAACAAATACATAATGGGTGGCTATGGTTTGATTAAATATTCATGATTAAGCAAATTGTGGCCCTTTACAAGGAAGAATTATAAGATTTATGCTTCTCCTAATTATTGGTAAGTAGACAGAAAATTGAACAATTAAATCAAGATCAGTTAATGAGAACAGCAAATGCTTCCTCGAGTGAAGCTCTATAGGACAACTGTGTTTTTACTACTACCTCAATTTACTCTGAACGCTGGGGTGGGGGGAGGGAGGAGATGCAGACAAAAAACAAAGGCAAATGTTATACACAACATTTGTATATATTTCTAACTGCATATATAGAGTTCTGCCTATGTGTAGAGTTGATAGGAAAGTATAGAGCTGTGATTGCCTTAGACATCCTGTCAGAAAAACTTTTCAGTTCCCTGAAATTTTCCAAACAATTCAGATGGAAATTTTCAGACCATCTGTCTGCCTCAGCCTGAGTTCTTGGCAGTGTTTCCCATTTCAGGTTTCACCTTGTTTTGTGCTTGAATAGCAGGATCATTTGGAGATGTTCTAGTGCTTCTGGGACTGATGTATGCCGGTGACTGGGAGATGGGACCTGAGCCTGACTGATAAGCCTGTTTTTAAGAACATGGCTCATACTTAACAAAATCATTCTACTTTGGCTAAACTGTAGTTAGGTTTTCATTCAAAAATTTGTAATACACAGTAGAGATTTGATAGAACTCAGCTAGAACAGTCAGGAAGATAAAGCAGAAAGTCTTTCTTTACTTGGCAGGTTTCATTAGGTAGATTAGGTCAGAACAACTCAGTATTGCAGCTGTTTTGCAAATGATAAAATGTCAGTATTATAAAGTTGTCATGAAAATAATGATAATGTTGCTGATATTAAAAACAAAGGTTTGGTCTACATGGAAATCTCTGAAGATCATGATACTACATGATACTAAAATCTGAGTAAGAGAGCATGTGCTTTTAAGTCAAACCATGTAATTTTCAGTTTTTAAGTTAACTCAAAGTGTCAGTAGGATGAAGGAAAACCAGGTTGATAATCCCTTAAATTTGGATAAGTTGCTTCTCCCTTCCAGGTAAGGTGTGGAAAGCTTTGGTATGTATTCCTGGAACAAATCTGGCAAAACCATGAACATGACATTTCTGACGTTTTACTACAGAAATGAAGGAGAAGAAGGAGAATCCCCCTTAACAAACATTTTCAAGGGGCGCATAAGAAGTTTTATTTTAAATCTTAAGGCATCAAAAATTACACTGTCAAAGTAACCTATTTTTCTTTTATCACAATTGTCTGTGTTCATTGAATGAAACTGATAGGTGATGCTGATGTGACCGGGTCAGTAGTCACTTTAAAATACCTGAGCTGCATCTTCTAACTGTAAATCAAGAAGCAGCAAAAGTAAGGCATGACCTGAGTTAAAATTTGCCTTTTGCGAGTCATCTTCAGAAGTGGAAAAAACTAGCCCAAAACCCCTTTTTGCAGTTACTTACAGTCAGCAGAATGGAACTTCAGCTACCCAGAGTAATCAACATCAAGTTGAAACATTGAAACACCTGAACCATTTAAAACAATTAGAATCACGGAATGGTTTGGTTTAGAAGGGACCCTAAAGACCACCTAGTTCCAACCCCTCTGCCATGGGCAGGGACACCTTCCACTAGACCAGATTGCTCAAAGCCTTATCTAGCCAATTCTGGGAGCATTGCTTACTTCCCCTGAACAGCTTTATCTCTGGCTCTCCAAGACCAGCATTTTTTCCTGCCCATTCTCAGACACCATTCTAGGAATGCTGGTTGTGATGGTGGAGGTGGAGCCAGCATCTAGGGACCCGACTGTGCACAGGCTGAGCTGTTTCTCTCCATATGGGTGTAGTATCAGTGCCTCCTGTTAGGCAGCCGGTATTGTCCTGTGAGCTTTGTCTGACTGCCAATTGCATCACCCTCCTCAAACTCATAATAGTATCTTGAGCAATGTATGAAGTAATCATCTTACTTATCCTGACTTGCAGAATGTCTCACCATTACCTACACAGACTGCATTCCTTACACTGACTGTATTTTCCTTTTTAGGTGTGCATAAATATATAGAAAATATATACAGGAAATGATACAGCTTTTACATATGGTTTTAAATACCTTTAAACTCTATCTAAAATCATGGTTTAAAAGTTCTTGATAAGACAAGTCTAGTTGCCTGTTGGCAAAGAGCATTACTGCTCCAGCATTAGCATGCTCTGTGTCCCCAATTACAGAAATGTTATTAAACATAGTACTACTGAGCTATGTCTTACACTTCCTATTACAGGAAACCATAAAGTTGCAGTACATAGAAAGATCACAAGCTAGGATGAAAAAGCCATAATTATCCAAGAGGCTTATCCTCACCCAAGGAAACATTTTTTATTAAACTTTTCTCAGTCTCTACTAAAGTATCTTCTGCTCTTACCAGAGTATATAAATGTTGCGTGAACTGACAACACTGGAGGCAGAAAAAGGGCACTGTGTAATCTTGGACCAACCTGCAGACATTTTTCCATATGAAAATACAAAACGAATGTAATGTTTTGGCCATAGAAGTGAAAATTTAGCAACAAGACTTAGTTTTCATATGAAACTGTCTATGAGGTGCCTGTTGTAAGAGTTTCAGCATAAACTGCACAAAAATGTATGCTTCTTTTAATTACACTACTTTCTTCTTAGAAGTGCACTATGCTGGAGAATACAGATTATAAGCAAAAACATTTAATGTCTTATTTACATTTAGGAAATGAAAAAAATAGATCAAGCTAAAAAATGAAAATAAAAATGAATAATGATTAAAAATTGGGAAAATACAAATATAAATAAGACACTAAATTGCTAATTAAGTGTCCCTTTTTCAGTCTAAGCATGGTAAATGACATGCTGATATTTATTCCCATCCAACATTACCTTTGTTAGATGTAGTAAGTGAATAATGGTACCATCATCATAGAATAATAGAATTGTTTTGGTTGGAAAAGACCTTTAAGATCATCGAGTCCAACCGTCAACCTAGCACTGACAAGTCTACCCCAAACCATGTCCCTAAGCACCACATAGCTTGTCTCTTAAATACCTTCAGGGATGGTGATTCCACCACCTCCCTGGCCAGCCCGTTCCAATGTCTCACCCTTTCAGAGAAGAAGTTTTCCCTCATATCCAATCTAAACCTTCTTTGGTGCAATTTGAGGCCATTTCCTCTTGTCCTGTCACTTGGGAGAAGAGACCAACCCCCACCCCTCTGCACCCTCCTTTCAGGCAGCTGTAGGGAGCGATCAGGTCTCCCCTGAGCCTCCTCTTCTCCAGGCTGAACACCCCCAGCTCCCTCAGCCGCTCCTCACAGGACTTGTGCTCTAGACCCTTCCCCAGCTCCGTTGCCCTTCTCTGGACACGCTTCTGCATCTCAGTGTCTTTCTTGCAGTGAGGGGCCCAAGACTGAACACAGGATTCGAGGTGTGGCCTCACGAGTGCCCAGTACAGGGGGACAGTCCCTGCCCTAGTCCTGCTGGCCACACTGCTCCTGATACAGGCCACGATGCCATTGGCCTTCTTGGCCACCTGGGCACACTGCTGGCTGATGTTTATCCAGTTGTCCACCAGCACCCCCAGGTCCTTTTCCACCCCATGTGCTTTTCTGCCGTGCAGCTTTCCAGCCCCTCCTCCCCAAGCCTGTAGCATTGCAGGGGGTTGTTGTGACCCAGTTGCAGGACCCGGCACTTGAGGTTGTTGAACCTCACATGGTTGACCTTGACTCATCGAGCCATCATTGCAGTAACACTGCAGTTGGCCCTGTTTGTGTTTTCCATCTCCCTGAGTTTTACACATTGTCCTTCTTCACCAGCAGAAGGTCACATGGTAGAGGAAGTATAAGAAATGGGGTTCATGGGATCAAAGAACCCTTGACTCCTGACCAGAGGTTTGGGTTGAAGCAGCGTGTAAAGCAATAAATCTGAAGGCAAAATTAAAGATAACACGTTTAGAACTGAACTTGCTGCATACTAGAAATAAATGGACTTTCATGTAAACTGCTATCCAGGCAGTAAAATAGCTATAGACACTGCTCATGTATAAGCACACTAGGTGAAATTCCCCATCTACAAAATTATCTACAAACTCACGTTATTAAAATGTGAGATTGTAGTCACAAAACCAAGGCCATAGGGGAAAAACTTGTGAGTCCAACTTAATAGTTCCCAGTTTTGACAGTTCCCAGGGACATTTTAACTTCATAACAGTGTCCAAAAATGTGTCCATCTTACAACAAAGATGTGAATGAAAGGAGATCTGCACAAACAAAACTGCACTACTTGTTCCCAGTATATCATTTTACAGGTTTTTCAATGAGAGTTAACTTGTCTAGAAACCTATCATTAACAGGAAAAAAAAGTTTGTCTCAAAAGGTCCAACAGAATTAGAGCATGTAGCTGCTTTGATTAGAGTTAGGGCAGTTCATCTCTCCACCTTCCCCCTGCCCCAGTCTAGAGTATTTGAAGTAGGAATTGTTAACTTCATCTCCTTTGTGTCGTATATTGCATACGAAGTCCTGGTCCTTCTGTGGTCCATGAGAGTTTTGCTGTTGATTTCAAGGAGCAAGGATTTCATTGCAGTGGTTATTCTCCTTGCATCAGTATTGTTTGTAGTTATGGGCCTTTGCTGTAGACATGCATGAAGTGGAAGAAACACTGAATGAAGGGAAAACATTATTGCATGGCTATGGGTATCCTAAATACAGCTAAGATGATGTTTATCAAATTCTGCTTTCAGTAGCATTGATAGAAAGTGTAGAATTTTACTCATAATGTCCATTATTTGGAATCTACACAACAATTTGAACACAGAATATGCAGACACCATGCAAATAAGATTTACAAAAATAAACACTATGCAAAAATGAAGTACTGCAATTCTGCATTATTAAAATGGCAATAAAATGCACATTTAACATACATACTGACATATGTGGTGTATAAAAAAAATGCAGAGCCAAGAAATTAATGATACTGCTGGAAATTGAATGCAGCTTTGAATATATTTCCTGTTACAGCACACAGAAATTAATATGTGAAATAAAAGTAATCAGCTGTTAGTGGAAACATTTCTTACTTTGTGTTTTGACAGTATAGCAAGACTCTTGTGGAATCATATAAATTGTAGCAAAATATCCAGGCAGAATTTCATTGAATTTACTCTTACATATTAGGCCAAAATAAATATTAAGCATTTACATAAAGCATATTTAATGCTCTGTGAACATGAGTTTTAAACAGCTCCCTACTTGTGCAGCTTTCTTATCCTTCAACTATACAGTAGGTAGTTCATTTATGATGGAAGAACATGATCATTTGTTCAACAAGGACATATTTGTACATCTGTGCCCTCCCTTTCAGGAGCAGCACAGAGCTAGAATTCATTTCACTCCTGAGCTTACTTCCAGTAAATGAAAGGGTTGAGTAACCAACACGCTGGCTAGACTTCCCTCCCTTCCTGTTCCCTGAGAGCCAGGTCTTTGCCCAGTCCACCCTTCCTTCCTGTCTTAAAAGTGCAATGACAGAAAGAGTAAAAAAAAGCTTTATTGACCTTTTATCCCTACTAAAGACACACTCTAAATTCAGCAAAGAAAGTATGGCTTGAGGAGATTTAACAGGAATCACTTGGACTTTTTGTGGTGAGTGAAATTGTGTAGCTTGGATTTAGAGAACAGCATTGATATATATGTTGGTGAATGTGCAGGAAGACCTGACTGAAACAACTTTTCACTTACAGTTAAATAATATGATCTCTTAAAAAATACTTAGGTCTATTCTAGCCCTCCCCTGCAAATCTTTTTTCACTGCATCTCCTATTAACAAGGAGATATTATGCCAGCTTTAGAAAAACTTTTGGAAAACAAGAGAGAAGTGTCTAAAGTGTCAAAGAGTCCTGAGTTGGTAGTGACTAGTTTGCAGTGACACTAGGTGACTCATGTCTTCTAACTATCTGAAGTGTTACGCTTGACTGCTTTGGTGTAATTGAGCCTGGGCTGCTGTACTAAGCCTTCATGAAAGGCCTCCTGTCACTGGTGCAAGCAGTTCCTTCATGGCATCTACCACAGCAGCTCGTTTCATATTTCAGGTAATAAACCATATTGGAAACACTGGATTGAAAGCTTTCCTAAAATAGTACTTTATTATAGAAACCTTTATTTTTACAGGGGGCAGTTGTTATAGCTTTCTAATGCTTCATGTTTCATTTTAGGCCATAATACCTGAATCCAATCAAAACATCCATACTTCATCGTCAAAGTGTCTCATTAACCTTAGACCACAACATCACTGTGAATTAGTTAAATTCTGAAGCAGAAAAACTGCAAAAGAGATCAGCGTTATTGATCTAAATTAACTGTCATCCACAGAAGTTGTCATTTAAGGCTTTAGTAATGTTTGGGAGTTGTATATAAGGTGCTCAGTTTGCCAGTTTTTCTCTCGTCTTAGTCACAGGGTTTATACAAGCTTGGCCATGGGACATTAACCTCTACTGCTGTTCTACAAGCACTGAAATAGGCTGTTTTAAGTTTAAGCAGGTGGATAAACCTGACAGAGTTAGTGACATAATCGGGGTACTTGACATGAAGTACATACTTCAGCACTTCACTCCTGCTACTCAGCATTGTGCAGGATCAAGCCCTGCATGATCTTGAGGTGGTCACAAATCTACCAGTCAGTGATTTATTCCTGTTTTAAATAGCTGTTTTCTGTTTTCTTAGGGTATACACAAATGCTGTAGCTGTTCATTCATTTGCAATACATATGTAATCCTCTTGTATAATAAGAGTGGGGTTTTTCGCCCTCGCTTTTGATCTTTTCATCTTTTTCAGCTTTATGGTTTCCTGTAATAGAAAGTTTAAGCCATAGTTCAGTAGTAACACATAACATTTCCGTAATTGGTGACACAGCTTTTACTGTGAGGGCAGTAATCTTCTTTTCCAGTATGCCACCAGAGCTGTTTAATCAACACTTTTAAGGAATGATTTTAAACTATGTTTTACTTACTTTTCACACAAAGACACAGGAAACCGTTTTCCTGTATATAAAAGAGAAGTCAAAGGTGTTGGGTATGTTAGCCCAACAATAAGATGAATGCATCTGCATGTTCAGTTGCTTAAGATTATTGCAGAGCTTGTGGGGTTTCTCCATATATTCTGAGTTTCAGGAGGGGCATCCAGCAGTCAGATCCAAACTATGAGACAGTACCTCTGATTCATCACTTTTTCTTTCCTTATATTGTGCTCAAACTCAAATCAACATTATGTAACAAACAAAAATAAATCCCTTGAAGAATTAAAATCATAGAATTGTTTAGGTTGGAAAAGACCTTGAAGATCATCAAGTCCAACCATTAACTTGAACACTACCAAGTCCACAACTAAACCATGTCCCTAAGCACCTTATCCACTCATCTTTTAAATATCCCCAGACACACATCTTTTAAATACCCCCACCACCCCACTGGGCAGCCTGTTCGAATGCCTGACAACCCTTTCACTGAGGAAATTTTCCCTGATAGCCAATCTAAACCTCCCCTGGCACAACTTGAGGCCGTTTCCTCTTGTCCTATCACTTGTTACCTGGGAGAAGAGATCGACACCCACCTCCCTACAACCTCCTTCCAGATAGCAGAGTTTTCAGACAGATAGTTTTCTGGTGTGCTGTAAGATGTGATACACAATTTTAATGCATTTTAGTATAATCAGTGGGAAGACACTATCGACATACACCCCATTATTGTATATCTGCTTATGTTTCAACAGGAAATGTGGAATATTAAGTCACTGCTTGTACCATGGAACTCAAAATGAGATGAAAACAAGAAAGAACGTGTCTAACCTTTGAAGTAATGCTGGTTTTTTAAGCAGGAA